CAAACTTCAAACTAGAGGCGACAGGTTATTTCATAATTGTACAAATAATGTGTGAATCTGCACCTCTAAGCATTATCTTCCCAGGAATTATGTTTCAGCACAAACCGCGAGCAGACTACATAACAGGTGGAGACAAACAGGTGTTATTTTTAATGTATTCAAGCTCTCTTTCTCACTAATGTGTGAATGGTTTGTTAAGTAACATCAAAAATTAGACTTTCTTCAACCCTCATCTAATAGCTTCTAGACGTGATTTCATTTCTGTTAAAGACTCGGGTCATATTTGCCCCACAAACTGTTGCATTTATGCATCGAGCCGAGGTCCCAAATGCCTCGGCTTAATGCTTCTCCTTTGCTTTCCTCAGGACACGAAACAAAAAGCCAGACTAGCCAGCACTCATTTAAAAATGGAGACTACTAATCACTAAGCCAATAAAAGTTCTGGTTCCCATTGCAAACAGACCAACACAAACTTCACAGAAACAAAATGAAAATCAGACGTGGACTCAAATCATATTTTGCAATAACAATAACAGGGAAGCACGCCGTTATCTTTGGAAGCCCACCAGCCCAACATGGACACATTGGCTTGCATCAGCAGGGCATTCAGTACATGAAGGGATTTCCATTTAGTCTCAGAGAGTTTGAAAGAAATTGATGCTGCACTGATGAAGCGATGCAATCTTCCAAACACAGAGCATCCACTGGTTGTGTTGTGTGCCATCTATGATGTCACCAGGGCCCTATCACCTTGACACTTGAGGTTTGCTAGACTTGCTGTAATAAACTCTCGAATGCTAGATGTCACCACTCGGGCAAAACATCACCACTGGTATAGAAGTAGAAGAAATTGAAAATGGAAGCAAAAAAATAAGCTTTCTGCAGAAAGTCTCATCCTGTCAAGATTTCACAGCATCTCTCTCTTAGCCTTTGTCCTTGTATACCATTAAAATGGTGGCTAAACACTGTTAAGGTCCCACACTTGTGTGCACCATCATTTTCACCTAACGTAATCTTTCACTGCTATTTATCATAGACTTCTGCACAAGTACAAGTCTTTGTGCAACCAGACGTCCTACCCCCTGCTAGCCATTAAAGCATGCAGGTTTTAGTCACTTCTGCATTAGTTTCACTTTTCAGCCCTGGAAGCAATCTCTGTCTGTTACAC